AAGTCAAGAGGAGAGCAGTCACATTCTGAGCTTCTTTTGTCTTAAAAGCTGTTGTGTTCATCCAGGAGGGGCAGATATATTTTTCTCTCACATTCATATATGTCCATAGACTTAGAAGAGAAAAAGTGTGTTCTTGACCCCTGGAGACTTCTGCTCCAGGGAAACCTGCTCCATTACTCCCATCCCCAATACTAACATCTTTTCTTCTTCCTTATCTGTCAAGCTGATACATTCAAATTTGCCCAAAAACATGCAAACAGTGCAGACCCTCGAACATCAATACAACATCAGCAAAGCGCTAATCATGCAAAGCCAGGCTGTCAACACAGACTATGAGCACAGCAGTTGGGACCGTGGCCATTTGAACCCCAATGGCCACCACAACACCCAGGACAGCAGGAATGCAGCCTTCACCCTCACCAACATAGTGCCCTTGAACGAAAAGCTCAACCGACATGCTTGGAAAAACTACGAGCAGCAAACAATGGCAAATAAAAGCAAGGACTGTCAAATCACCTATGTCATTGTGGGGGCTGTGCCTGGGAACTCCTCCATCTCCAGTGGGAGGGTTAATGTACCCAGCCACATCTGGTCTGGTGCCTGCTGCAGGACCAAGAACAACACCGTCAGTGCTTGGGCAGCCATTGCCGAGAACAACCAGGACCAGGTCTGGGATCTCACTCTGGGGGAGCTGGAGAACAGTTTGGCCCAGCTGTATGGGATGCAAAACGTTTCTCTCTTCCACAGTTCCTGTCCCCGTACAAACCCCTCACATCCTGGTTGTAAAAGGCGCAGGGGCTTTTCTCACATATCACAATATCACAGAATGCTTTGAGTTGGAATGGACCTCAAGAATCATCCAGTTCCAAACCCCCCTGCAATATAGCAGGGACACTAGACCAGGTTGCTCAGAGCCACGTCCAACCTGGCCTTGAACACTTCCAGGGATGGGGCAGACACAGCTTCTCTGGGCAACCTGTGCCAGGGCCTCACCACCCTCACAGGGAAAAATTTCTCCCTGATATGTACTCTGACCCTGCCCTCTGCCAGTTCAAAGCCATTCCACCTTCTCCTGACAGTTCATGCCCTTGTCCCTCTCCAACGGTCCTGGAGACCCTTTAGGTACTGGAATGGGATCTAAATTCTCCTC